CAGAACAATACTAAACACACCACTCCTTTTTTTTGGTGAGGCTTTACAGGATAGAGTGCTTCTCCACGGGACATGTTAACTCACGGGCAGCTGGCTCATCAAGGAACCACAGCAGCTTTCCATGTACAGGTAAGACACGTGCAGCCGGTAAGGGTTCAGGCTCTTCTTCCTGGAGGATATGCTGCAAACCTGTTGAACGAGGTGACCTTGCTCGGGTCCCAGGTGTACGGTTCCTAAAATGGCTGCCATATACATGTCCACTGATAGGAGACGCGGAAGGTATTAAACTGATCAGAAAAATACTAAACACCTACTCCTATCTGGTGGCACATTAGCTTGACAGCGCCAGTGCCCCAAATTTGAATTAAGAGGGACCGACAACATCTTCTTCATCTCCCTATTTGATCACTGCATATCCATACAAATTTAGCTAGAATGTCCAGGATAGTTTCCAGCAGGGACAAATGTTGTAAGCCTGTTGAACGGTGACCTTGCTCGGGTCCCAGGTGTACAGTTCCTAAAATGGCTGCCATATACCATTCCTGTTGACTAGAGCAGCGGAAGGTATTAAACTGATCAGAAAAATACTAAACACACCATCTGGTGTACATTAAGCAAACCAGCGCAGTGCCCCCAAATTTGAATTAAGAGGACCGACCAACATCTTCTTCCATCTCCCTGTTACAGAAATCACTGCCATATCCATACAAATTGTACAGAATGTCAGGATAGTTTCCAGGGACAAATGTTAAGCCTGTTGAACGAGGTGACCTCGCTCGGGTCCCAGGTGTACGGTTCCTAAAATGGCTGCCATATACACGTCCACTGATAGGAGACGCGGAAGGTATTAAACTAATCAGAACAATACTAAACACACCACAAATAAGGTTTCTCTCCTGTATGGCTCCTCAAATGATGCTTAAGATTAGAAGCGGCTGAAAAGCATTTCTCACACTCCGAACAAAAATATATTTTTTTAACATTCTCTCCACTTTGAACGAAATGACGTTTGGGAAGAGATTAACATAATTAAACACAGGCAGTAAAAATACAGTTTTTAGCCATACCCTGTAACTTTAAAACTACACATCCCATCTTCATAATTACATATTTGGAATCAGCACACTTAAAACATAAACATAACCAAAAATCAGCCAAATCCATCCAGGGGTTAAAAAGTTAGCTGGAGG